GATATGGTCTCAAATTATCAGATGGTTCAGAATGATGTTCTATAAAACTTTTAGATATTCCATGTAAAAATTCCAGTAAGAAACAACACCATGAATATATAATTTCTTTACTTACATACACCATTAACCTTTAACAATCCAAATTCCGATTTTCTTTGGATGGCACGCTTGAGTAAACAAACCTAACAAATATATCATATCTTGTCTGGCAGTTCTCCAATTAGTATTTAAAAAGTGGTGACGTAACTGGTTACATAATAAGATCTGTAAAAACCCGAATTATCGACCTGCTGATAGGCAATTGCTCTGAGCTTCCTTTATATTCTTGACCTACGAAAACAATTGAACCTCTTGTAATAGGTGTTTTTGATTAATTAAAATTAATCATATATAATAGCGCACGTGTAGTATGCACGTGAATGTTTTCCGTTGTTAGCCAGCGAATACTCGATGAGCGTTCTATTGCTTTTTTCTCATATATTCCTTAGACATATTTACCAATTCTTTTTGATGGAGTTATTTAGGTAACTTTATTGATCTAATGTTTTATGAGGAATTATAGAATAACATAACTAATGCCTATGATAAAAATAGATTTATGTAGTTATATCTGATAGAGATACTATAAGTCTTTCATGTTTTAATCACATGGCCCACCACGTTTTATTTATTTATTTATAGATTTAGTTATCAATTTATCTATGTATTCCTATTACTTTTTATAGTTTTAATGTGTTTTTGCCAATCAAAAATAGATAACTTTAACTTGAATCATATAGACATCGACAAAAACAAAACGGTAATTCAATCTTGGAATCTATCATAATTTTGGTATACATTACATATTTGAATGATTGTTCTTCTTTGTAAGACACATACAAGACTACGTCTATCTTATCATGAAGTAAATGGTACATTTAGGTTTATTTCACGTTGTTTTGAAACATGACATCACTCTGTGTTTATATGATCACTCTGATTACGTAATAGGCTTTAGTAGCCGTCTTTAATACTACAAGAAGAGAATTGGCTCCGATAACGTAAAGATACACATAGTATATTCTTTCTACTATATTCCACTTAATAACATGTTATGGTCTCATGCTTATGCTTTTGTTGTATGCGGTATGATGCACTATATTCTAATTTATTGCTTTCAAAACTATGACGCTGTACAGATAAAACCTTTGTTTTATTTACTTGATGCTTTTAGTTTGTACTTTATATGATACAAACTATAACATGTGTGACACACTAAATTATCTACCGTTGTGTAACATATAGAGTGATATTACTTACACCTGAATATTCACTTTTTTGTCATCAAAAAGCAAGCTTAAAAACGTTAGCCTTCCCTTTTTAATGAAAGATAGAAATCTTTAATGCGCATATGAAACATGGGGCTAAGGTTACAGATTTTTTCAACAGAATAGAATATTTCGTGATAATATTTTAAAATAATTGTTTAACTCACGTTTAAATGCACGTGATAATTAACATAGATCAAACCACGGATACTCTATAAGCGTTTGATCTGTTGTCGTCAACTGCAAGGTCATGTGTAACGGTCAATTGGTTCATTGGTTGAGCTTAATTGTATCACTTCATTGTTTTAATGTAGTCTACATGATGTTGTTTGGGCATATTTAAGCTATTGATAGTGATACATGAACATTTTTTTGTACTCGGACATAGCAGAATCAATTGAAAAAAAAAAAAAAAACAAAAAACAAGGCAAACAAATAAAAGCAAAAATTGTTGTCAAACAAGTCTATGATTTTGGTCACGTGGACCATCACGCTTTTGTTCAAATCTTTTAATTAGTATGCGTCAATCAAGATTACATCAAACTATCTTAAATCTGATACACATCGACAGGTCTAACTGATTGCACTATTTTGTAAGAGAATTCAATTCTTGTCTAATTACCTATCCAACATAACGTGCTTCAGTTAATATAAGACATAAATGTATCCAATGTACATTATTATATATACAACTTAACATACTTTCCGATTAAGTTAACATACATACAAGGGAGATAACCACTGTTTGCCTGTTAAACTTTAACGTAGTGTACCTTTGAGGGTAACAGTGTACAATGAATTAAGAATCATATATATATTTCAGCAGCTCCTTTTATTGTCTAGCGTTACTTTTTCAGAGAAAAATCTGAAATGTTTTGTTCTTCAATAATAGTGTATGCATAGTTTACTATCATGATATATATATATGATCAGATTATTTTCACCAGCAGTAGATCTGAAGACGTGTCGCTGTTCTTTTTATATAGCAAGTTAACTTTCATTGTGCTGATGAAAGAAGTCGATTAGGTTGCAGCAAGTTTTATAGCAGTGTGGGTAAGGAATTCTGTAATGATTCCACACTATATAACTTCCAATAGAGAAAAATTGCCTAAGGAAGTGTAAGTGTGCTGTAATGTAGGGTGGTCAGAGGTGTAACCGGATAGATCGACCTTAATCAACAATACATATTTATACATAACTGGTGCACCTTCATAAAACATACATTATGTTAACGTTTCGAATAAAATCGAAAACATTGATCATCAAATTATTTTTTTTTTCGTTTTCTAATTATAAAACTGAATAATATTAGTTGTAATACATACCAGTAAATATAGTAGGTGATTTAATTTCCGTTTTGATCGTAAGAAGGATTTATCATTAAGGAGTTATCTATCCGACCACATTTGATACACCACATATACTTCCATTCGGACTAACAAAAGTGAAAAATAAAAGGTGAAGAATTTGTTTCGGTGTAGGTGTAAAATCACTCAAGCTTATTCTATTTCCAACCTTTCTATCAGTGTAACAGTGAAATGCAGATTTAACATTAGTATTAAGAAATGTAAGGCTTTTTTTCTCGTCAATTTCAGACTGATAATTGACCTATAATACATATAATACCCCAGAAAATACATCTAAAGCACCACTTCATTCACTCTCTAAAACAGTTTTCCCTCTGAATCCAGATGTCGAAATACACATTCCAATAAATGGACAAGATGTCACGGTGTTTTTGGTCTTACATGAAAAAGTTTCGTAGTACCAGTAGATATGTGCTCAGCTGGAACAATTAAACTAGAACAGGTCAAAGAACGAGTAGTTGTTAGGTCATCTACATTCACTTTGGAACTTGGAACGCAATGAGTTTGGAATAATAGGAAGATATTACTGAGGTAATTTTCTGTTAAGAAAATACAACGGGACACTAAATTTTACATATTTCTGGTGTAAAATATTTTCATCAATCCCAACCAGAGGTTTACTTGTTTGTCGCACATGTATGATCATTTGTAATCACTCAATGTGTTGGCAGTCAATGTGTAATTATCACATGTAAAGCAAAACAAAACATTTCCGTGTAATAATCTTGACATTTATTATATCAAGAATTTGCCAGGTAGAAATTATTTTTAAAACATTTGATGCATAATTTCAATACCTGTATGTAGGAAATTGTACAAATATGCACAATAATACTTTCAAGATTACCGCCCAGCAGTTAATAATGTATACTGAAAACAGATATCACAGTCAAAAAGTGTAACTCCAATCATGTAAAATACAGTTAGAACAGAAATCATGCACTACAAGTCAATTCATATACAAAAATAAAAAATGATATAAAAATCCAAAGATGACGTTAATTGTAAAATTACTTATATACAAACAGGAAATTTACATAGAAATTAAAGTTCGCTGTACATGATCATTATCATCGGCATTACTTGATTTGATATTCTTTTGGCTAATGCTCATTAATCATTCTTAATTTATTATATATTCCACTGCATTATAAGGCAGATCTGGAATGAATTGCAATTGTGGAAACATTACTTGTTTCTTTTTGGCGGGAATTTGTCGTCAACTTGCTTCAATTTTAACGTAACACAAATCCGGCATGTCCAACATTTATTAAGACATTCTATTGATAAATGGTTTATACTTTTATACTTCCAAATGATCAAACTCAAAAATTTTGATATGTCGTCCGCCATCATTGATTTATATTTTGAATTGAATACTTGATACAACTGGAGTAAAAGTTTGCAACTACCAGTCATTCTAATTCATTTTACCGAAATACATTGTTATATATGTATTTTTATGATCATAAATAGATGAAAGCCATATTACAATTATAAAATCAGATATTTGCATTATTCTGCTGCTGATGCCATTTACATAAAGGTATACGGACATAGCGACTTTAAAATAGATACCTCATTCATTTATAAAATATGTTATATGTAAGCAATATAATTATATAAAATTACACAAAAACATAGTAACATACTAATATATGTACACAATTTTTCCTTTGGAAATTACTTCAATTCTTTCAAAACCAGGTCGTTTTGAACAAGAAAACTCATAACATTTTCCTCTTCTGACAGTGGTACCATTCTAAATTGTTTAAGTGCAATAATCAATCACTCAACTTTAATCAGTAAGGAGTAATATCTTAACTCGTTTCTTATTTTCGCTATTATCATGTTTTCTACAATGCTTGGTATTGTGTCATCTGAGTACTAAATACTATTTATCATGTGATCGATATGACAAGATATAATAATATGATAAAATTATATATAAATGTAGCAAAAGGTAGGTGCATACTTGTTCCTTAAATAATGACATCCTGATTGATATCCCGATCAGTCATATATGAGTTTCAAGTAAATGCTGGGCCTTGATATGAATAAACGTGCTCGTTCTTCTATAGAGCAGTTATAAATAGATTTAGATTGATACAAAACATATCACAGTAAAAAATAACATATTGTACAATATAAAAATATCCAAATAAATATCAACAAAATTATAAAAGTTAACTATTTATCCGTATAACCTGATCTCTACATTTTTATACATGTGTTACAAAGTCTTAACGCCAATAAGGAAACCAGCCGGCATTGTTTTGTGTATAACGACGATTGTTTGAGCAACAGAGAGACAACTAGAAAATGATTAGTAACGTGGTGGATTTTCCTCATCCGGAACGTAGTTAGGCGGCGAATTTCTATCATCATCATATGCTGGGGGATTAGAATCCGAACTTAGCCCACAAGAATATGTAGGAGGCGGTGAGGACGGAGGGAAGTATGAATTGTATCCAGGAACTCCGTGAACTAAGTACACTGGCTGATTCTCTGTTTCACTATACGGAGGTGGATTAATAGGCACCATTGGAAAGTTCTGTTCTGTACTCCATATATTATTATTAGCACGTCTGGTATTGTATTGTGATATCGTAGGTGGCGACGATCGACGTGGCCGATTGCGTTGGGGAATCTCTACCACACTAGAATGAGGGGATACCGACGTTCGTTGACGTCCATTGTTTCTAAGACGACATCGTCGACAAATCCTCGTAGAACACATACAGCAGACAGCTGTAACGACTACTAATAAACACAAACCTCCTAGCAATCCGCCCACTAACGTTGAGAGTTTAGCACCGCCAAATGCTTTTTCATTGCCTGGGTCCAAAGCTTAAATAGAAAGAGACATTGAACGTTAAAACTCCATTTTATAAAGAACTGCTTGTTTGATGTAAATGTAAGTACGCTATAGGAATATTACATGCAATTTATCCGTCTGTGGATTATCAGTTTTGAGACATCGGTATCATCATGCCTTTTATAAATAGAATATTTATTTTGAAGTTTTGGTTTCATGTTTTGTAAATAAAATATCCTTATAACATATACATTATACAAGCCACGAATAGAATATTATTTGTATGTGTTTCTCTCTTTGCCGAATATTTGCAATAGTTTTTTTATCTAACAGGAAGCACAGACATTATCCTCCTGTTATGTACGTATATGTAAGTAGCTTACTTCCTGGAACGGCAAAAGAACCATAAGAAGAGAAACACAAAGAAATAAACAAGACAAGAAAACAATATTAATAAGGACGTATGCTACATAGGTAAAACAGAATGTTTATACACTTACGTCTATCCTTTTCATCTTTATCCAGAGGGGGTGGATAGCTGCTACTGACTGTACTAAAATCTACTGTCTTGTATTTAAATTTGAACCCTTCTCCATTAATTTCATCATCCGTATGAAAATAGAAATATAAGTACATTCCAGAACTGACAATCGTGAAGGTTTCTTTCCCGCAGAACTTTCCAAAGGATGGGCTCCTGTCATTGTAACCTGGCAAGCAAAACGTGTAGTGCATTTTATTTACAGATAATGATTATTTTACCAATTTAAGATATGTAAGTTTAATTCCATTCTAACACCAGTTTATCGTTTAGTGTAAATCAGATGGGAGTATATCAGGCTATGAAATCCGCCTTTTGGCTCAGCGTATAAATTCTCATCCAGACGCCAAGGTGAGACGTCCACCAAGAAGTAGTCCTGGTAGATATAAATGTAATATTTACATACTGTGTTGTATTCGCCTATAAATAGTCACTACGCCAAATTGTAGGATATAAAACGGTAGACTACATTTACATTGATTCGGTCGGTGTTTGAAATTTAGATGTCTCTAGAGGTAAACAAAACAAGACAATTTCTTTTTCTACGTAAGATCTTCAGAAATGTTAGTAACTTTACAGAGCAATCAACTTATAACAAAACAAGTTCATTGTCAGACATGTTATATTGCCAAAAAATATTTTTATTACCATAGCATACAAATGTACTTCACTACCAAATTTGTCAACTCTGTCTGCTACAGTCAGTACAATCCAAATTACACATGCAGAATCCGTTTCAAACAAAATGTCGTCACATACTGACAGGATCAACTTCCATGTATAATGTTCGTGGTTTTTTTTATTCTAAAAGCCGTAAATTGCTTTTATTTAAAAAATGAAACAATTAAATAATTGTATTTTACACTTTTATATTATTAATTATAATCAATTTGATTTAATTTGTGACTTTATCATTTCATACAATTGCTATTGATGATGACAAAAATGAAGTATACTATTTTCGGATTTGAACTTGCTGGCGTCAGCTTTTTTTAAGCCGGGAATTTAAACGACGCATTCCTGGTATTTGCTTTTTTTTCAATATATATTTGACGATGGATATATAAGTAATTAACTATTACCATACAGTTGGCATAAAGCCAATCCGAATGGAAGACAATTAGTTGACTTCATATTAACTGTGTATCCTTTCTGGTAACAATGTACTATGTAAATCCCCTATTTAAGTTTATGTACAACGTGGATGTATAACATTCATTTCTAATGAAGGAATGAATAAATGAGATAATAAATTATTGGAAAAAATCTTGTATGTTGTAATTTTACCTCTATTGTATATTTTTCTTATGTATTGAAAATTGTCATTCCTTGCTTTTGTATTATTCCTTTATACATGTTGAATGACCATTGATTTCATGGTTACAGTTTTTTCAGAGTTTGTGACTCCTAATCTCGCTAGCGGTTATCTCACTCTGTATTCTAGAGGATTTATGTTAAAATATATACGCAGATTATTGCCTTTTTGGTGTAAATGTATATGAGACGAATTATGTTGACATATTGGTATTGTCCTTTTATTTCTTGATGAACATATAAAAATACTGACATGATACCATCATTTTGCTTAAGTGGATAAATTAATATGTTCCATTATACAAAATTATACTTACCATCATATATTTCCAGATAATCGAACTCGCATAACTGGTCGTATTCAATATCAATATCCAGTATTTGTATCTTAACCTTTTTGTTTGGATTCGTCGAAGTCAACCTCCAATAACAGTCTTTATTTCTGTAAATTAGATTTATTTCGATAAACTCTAAAGTTAATACAATTCATTCTATTACATGTTCTTTTAGGGTTTGACAGAAGTAAATGATACGTCACAAATTCTTATATGTTTACATTTCTTGATTATATGGTCTTGGTTTCTTGGCATAATAACAATGTTGATCATCATAGAGTATGATTCAAACAACGATACAGAAAACCATACAAAACATTGATTTACCTATCAATTCAGTTCACTGATAAATTATTAGCATTAAGTAGCACTTAACAGAAATAAAATGTATATCTTTATATACTTACACATGTTTATCAAATTACATGTACTGAAGGTTACGATTACATTACAATGATAATATCTTCTCTTCACAACACAACATTGTCTTTATTTCACATCATTTACAATTCGACGAAAACACGATAAATATATTTACTGCACGACGTATTATACAACTTTCGAAAACATGTTTTCATGTCAATATCCGGAATGTTTTATCGACCGGACAGAGTGATACTTCCTAAATCTAAATGTAATGGAACTATCACTTTCGGTGATTAATAAATCATCGTATTTATATACCACAGGATTGATAATATGATATTTACATAACATTTTCAAATTACGAAAGTTCCTGTTAGTGAATATACTGGATAGAACTGAAGCAGTATTATTTTTTTTTGACCGATAATTTGTTATTTACTAAAATTCAGCAAAATTGAATTGATACCTAACAACATAACATGACTGTATTCATTATACAGATCATTAAAATCGATTAAGCAATTCTGATAAGTTTCTCGTGCTGGTATTTTGTTTTTGTTTTTTAGAAGCTATTGATTAATGAGGTTGGAATGGTTTATTAATCCGGAGGTGCTTTTTAGGATTGTAATAATGCATGAGCAAGGTAAGATGATTTAGAATCGGTCAATCAAGAAAAAAATGCAGTTATGTAATGAAATAAAAAAAAATGTTCTTGTTATATTCGTACTTCATTCGTTCTTTACTCTTATCCAGGATTTGATGATTCAGAATATGTTGTATCATTGGCCTGAAATCTCATTGTGTACATATAGGCCTTAAGTTGATTACCATCAGCTATGTTTCCAGGTGTTTTTGTTTATATTGTAACATATAAAAGTTAGAACTAATACACGAGATGTGCATATGTGAAAATACATACAGTTAACACGTCATGTATCTATATTTTATAATTATACATTTTATGCATATATTTTAGTGGGGTGTTTTAGGACTGGAGATAACCATCTGAGACTGTAATAGGTCGAAAATCAAATATTAGCATTGTGAAAAAACACATTATAATGTATCAGACACTCTACAGAGCGTATCTTAAAATATCAATTTATGCTTTAGCATTTTTTCCTGTACTGCTTGTTGTATATAAGAATGTATGCAAAATTTTAATAACTTACCGTTTATACATGTTTGGATATCCGTAAGATGTGAGGTACTTAGGTGTATTGTTTACTTGTTCATCATGTGGACAATCATTTGTACAGGTTCCTGTCAACAAAAACAATAACAAGTCCCTGATGTTAGAAAACATCACAACAGGTACATTTCTACTTAGGTTACATGAAATATGAATAAAATGTTTGTTTTTTTTATTGTTAGATATTAATCATATATATTCCAGTAATACATTAACGTTTGGTTTTCATTGAAGATGTCTTGTTTCGAGTTTTTTTTAAAAAAAAAAAATCAAACATAAGTGAAAGAAATGGAACATATGTTCGTGAGATTGTGGAAAGTCGGAAAACAATTTTTTCCATAATGATTATCTAGGGAAATTTTACATCAATATTTGTACGCTCCTAAGCAGGGACCATACTTCGCACGATTGGTTCACCATTGAGCAGAATGAAGGTTTCTCATATTACAATTTCTCGTATTTCTTTTTCTTATTGGATATAATGGGAGAGTTGATATTCAAAAAGCGATAATCGTTTTCCTTCAAATGTTCTTGACAACAATACAACATTTACGGGAAATTTTCCTGAATATCTTCACCCTTGATTCGGTAACCAAAGACCAATAGACGTATCATGATTTTCCTGGAAAATGTTGATAACAGGTACCCAACACAGGGAAATATTCAGTTTCTTTGGTTGATATAAAACTGGACCTGTTTGTGCTCTTTAATATTTCTTTTAGTTACAATTTTGTTGTTTTCATTTTAGAACGCGATATTACTTACTACGATTGATCAACATCCATGTGCATAGCGGAAGACCATTTCCCTTCTTGAACACCTGATTTTATTTTCTTTGCACGTTTTTATGGATGTTATTGTGCCTTATTGGTATCAGTACTATTTATTGATATTAAGTTCCAATAAATCTACAAAGTAGGGAACATATTGTTTTGAATTAATTAGGCTTCGTAACGTGGTGTTCTACTATTTTTAATTGTTATCTGCTAAGAATTGATTGCAAAACTGTATTTTATATCAAATTAGAGAAAGCTCGTAATTAACAAGGATTTGACGGAAAACCATCTTATTCAACCTTCGCTTCATTTATGTCTGAGCAGGAAAATCGGCGAATTTCAATGCAGAGAAAAGAATTCACTGCTTTGATTGATCGCAACTATTTATTTTACACCATCATTGAAAAAAAGGTTTCTCATTTCATCAACACTGTGATATATCTTGTATCCGATAGATTTGCTTCTATGTTGTACTGAAAAAAATCTACTTTAGCGACAATTGACAATTTTGAAAAATAAAAAAATCCATAACATAATATACACTTCAAGTGGTGTAGATGATGCCATCTAGAGAACAATGAGTAGCGCATCATGTCACACTATACGCCCTAACATATATAAGGTTTTTAGTTTGATTGTTTATTGTCACAACTAACAGACTTTGACATAAATATTTGCATAAACACAGTACAGTGTCTGCATGACCGTTTTTCTTTGAATGGATTTAAATTGTAAAACAAAATAAATGCAATTAAATATGAATTATAGTTTTAAAAATGTTTGCGTTTTTGGTATTTTAATGCCACGATAACGGCCGTGTCATTCTGTAGAGGTTTCTCCGAATAATAGCTGGTGACAACCTCACTGAACAATGAACGTAAAACCTGTCGCATGCCCACTGGAGTAAGTTAGGGAAAACTGTTGTGCCTATGGACACAAGCACAAGATCACAGACCAAACCGTTTTCCTGTTTCCTGAGAAACAGAAAGTTATAGTGATAGAAGTGTCGAACAATGGTCCTTTGGATAGTTACCTGAGGTTACGTAGACACAAGGCAACAATGACTAAAATTGATGTCTACCCTCTTAATTCCCTTGTTCAATAACAGGTGTATTTTAAACAACAAAGGAACTCACAAATTTGCTTAGATGAAAACCACTTTTGGTATTTATTTATTCAATACATGTGAGGACACAATGTTTGGTTTCCCTGTATCAACATGTCATTATTAAGTAGGAGATTAATCATTATTTTATTTGATACTACAAAACTACAATTGAATACTGTTTTATCGAAAAACTCACCTAAGGCAAACAGACAGAGAAATATATAGCAGGCAGCTATAAAATGAGCTGAAGTGATGAGTGCAGCCGTACTACATTCCATACCACTGCAAAAGAAAAATGTTTTTATGACGTCATACAGTAACACGTAGTGTACACCAATTTTATTAATTATTCTAATACGTATCTTTGCCACAACATTTTCCAACGCGTTCTTTAAGGATGAACAAAATACACCTGGGTGAACACCAGTTTTATATAGCAAAATAGTGAAAAACTACATCATAATGTTGTTTCCGCGGTCTCGGTAGTGATGCTACATCACATGTATCATTCGTGTACATTGACATAGCTTCTATATCACCACAGCAATACAAATCCCCATTAGTACGCTTCAAAACCTCTATCAAATGGCGCGTCCAATATAAAATCAATCTCCAAAGCAATACTCTTTAATCAAAATATTAAATAACGAAAAATGATCTTAATATCATTCTTCATTTGTTAAATGATACTCCCTTGTTTTATAAAAGCTGAAGTCGATTGAAAATTCTAGAATATTGAACGAAAAATTGTAGGATATGTCAGAAGTACCTATAATCCGAGTAAACATATTTAGTGAGTATGAGTAACTATAATATGAGTTAATGTGTAGAAGTATCTATCATATGAGTTAGTATATATAGTGAGTATAGAAGTAACTATCATATGAGTTAATATGTATAGTGAGTATAGAAGTAACTAACATATGAGTTAGTATATATAGTGAGTATAGAAGTAACTAACATATGAGTTAGTATATATAGTGAGTATAGAAGTAACTAACATATAAGTTAGTATATATAGTGAGTATAGAAGTAACTAACATATGAGTTAATATGTATAGTGAGTATAGGAGTATCTATAATATGATTAGTATATATAGTGAGTATAGAAGTATCTAACATATGAGTTAGTATATATAGTGAGTATAGAAGTAACTAACATATGAGTTAATATGTATAGTGAGTATAGAGTATACATAATATGAGTTAATATGTATAGTGAGTATAGAAGTAACTAATATATGAGTTAATATATATAGTGAATAAAGAAGTATCTAACATATGAGTTAGTATATATAGTGAGTATAGAAGTAACTAATATATAGTTAGTATATATAGTGAGTATAGAAGTAACTAACATATGAGTATATGTATAGTGAGTATAGAAGTATTTATAATATGAGTTAGTATATATAGTGAGTATAGAGGTAACTTATATAGGAGTTAGTATATATAGTGAGTTTAGAAGTAACTAACATATGAGTTAATATGTATAGTGAGTATAGAAGTATCTATAATATGAGTTAGTATATATAGTGAGTATAGAAGTAACTAATATATGAGTTAGTATATATAGTGAGTATAGAAGTAACTAACATATGAGTTAGTATATATAGTGAGTATATATATAAGTAACTAACATATGAGTTAGTATATATAGTGAGTATAGAAGTAACTAACATATGAGTTAATATGTATAGTGAGTATAGAAGTATCTATAATATAAGTTAGTATATATAGTGAGTATAGAGGTAACTTATATAGGAGTTAGTATATATAGTGAGTTTAGAAGTAACTAACATATGAGTTAATATGTATAGTGAGTATAGAAGTATCTATAATATGAGTTAGTATATATAGCGAGTATAGAGGTAACTTATATAGGAGTTAATATGTATAGTGAGTATAGAAGTATATATAATATGAGTTAATATGTGTAGTGAGTATAGAAGTAACTAACATATGAGTTAACATGTATAGTGAGTATAGAAGTATGTATAATATGAGTTGATATGTGTAGTGAGTATAGAAGTAACTATAATATGAGTTAAACCTACATAATAAGCTAAACCTACTCCGTGTGCGTACTCGGAATTGCCATTATGTATTTTGTTCTAAATCCAAATTGATTTAAACATTGATTACGGAACCGCTGTTGGATATTTGCAAATATTTCAAAATTGACATAGTTTCGTGCTGCCTAGTTTAAATATGTAACCCCCTCATCTCTTTCTCTCTCATAGTTTATAATATCAAGGTTAAAATTATCATATATATTAGTAAATATATATATTGGTACAAAAAGTTCACTCGTTTCGGTTTAGTGAAGACTGATGCTTAAGTTATGTAAATGTTTAAGTCTCAATAGGTCATATAATTTTTTTAAGATTGTGTCTCGTGTTCATGTTATGTGGCAGGATTAACTTTTTCCAGTCATTCGAGCATATCTATTTAAATCTACGGTTTAGAGTTAGTCCACCTTTTTTAATTCATGGCATATAATCTGACCATATATACTTCTTTCATGTTTTTTAAGGTGTCTATATACTTCCACATTATATCTAATATTTCTTAATCTATTCATTTTTCTTGTATGCCACATTTAGGAATTCTTGTACGCGGTTGCTAAAGCAGAATTGTTATTTATTTCTTTTATAGAATTTGTATTAAAGTTTAAAAACAAGTATTCTAGGGATGAAAATATTTAAAATTTACATAAAATTCACATAATATTGCTAATAGGTTTTGTGCTTGCAATTTTGTGTGCATTATGCTACATTTTCCATACAGCAATATGTATATTATTAGTTTGTCCTTGACAATTGACATAAAACATTTATTTGTTCAGAAAACTTATTGGAAATTATCTATCTTATTGTATCATCATACCAACTTTGGATTAGTATTATAAAACAAAAGATATTACATTTGAGATTTGTTTTCAGAATCAGCTGTTTGTTGATTAGCATGTCAATAACACTTGGATAGAGTGCTATCAAAATCCATTCCGAACATAAGGATCTAATGTATGTACAAACAACAACGATTAAGGTATTCAAATAATTAATTACGGACTTAAACGGAATTAGGATTGATTGATTTATTTGTTTTTTAAATATTGTCTAAAACAAGATAAATAATTTGGTTAAAGAACTAAGGAATGTAAGCAGGTAATGGATTCTTGATCCCATTCAAACTATAAATATGACTTATTTCTAGCTTCATCAGGACCATACAACACACAGGGTCAGATCATCATACATGTGTGATTTGTTGTTAATGATGCCTAATAATTAATGATGTAGATATTTAAACGTATCTATATGACAATACTGCGCAGCGTCATAAATCGTTATAGAAAACATTTGTCTGTTGTTCGAACTGTTCAATAAACAGACATCACTACAGATCCTTACACAATAATGGCTTTTGTTTACAATGTAAAAATGCTTTCTAAAATGAACAGAAATGTACATCATCCACCGTGTTTTCTGATACTTTCAAATCGTTTTCATTTATCATATGATATTCAATTGTAAGAAAGCACTGTAGTGCTTAACAGTTTGTTTTGGACTCAACCCATCCTCTATATTTACTATTGACTCAGAATTATACTCGCTGTTAGTCCTGATGACAATGAATAACGAAAGTTGTAAAGTTTATATATAAACATAGATAATTTTATATTATTTATGTCTAGTTTGTTGACAGAAAAGGTGTAAAAACAACATCCTTTTGTACTGACGAGTCCTAGATTACAAAACATACACATGCAGTTTATTCATAACTGGCTCTACTGTATGTAAGTTATAATTTATACTGAAAAGTGATATTCACTTATGTGTCTTTTGTACCATCTCTGTCATTGCTGAACTTAAACTGATTTGACAATTTTAGCATTAACTTGGCATTAATAAATCCAATCAAGATATGCATGTACCTACCATTAGCACAAGAAACTAGACTGTTGTAAATGTAAAATCCCCTGACTCCTCAATCATATCAAATGTATAGTCTTTCTATAGATAAAACTGAATGTAATGTATTTTTTGAATGTCCCATTACACGCCACGTTTGTAGTATGTAGTATAATGTCAGTAAGTGTTTCTCATTGTAATCAACTCATGCAAGTCGTATCATCAAACAAGGTGAACAATATGACAATTTCCAATATTCGATATTTCAGGCATTGTAACTGAACTATATACAAATGGTATGTGTACTGACAGTTGTAACAGGTATCTATGAATACACAGGTATGTTTCAATGATGATATATATGAAAATCACCAGTAATTTATTCTTACCTTGAAGATTTATAGACGTCTCCAGTCTGGGGATTGAAAACAATACTTCCGCATTGGTCAAAATCACCATTTTTAACATTCTACGGGTTCAAGAGAATCGCGAAATTACATTTCGTCCATTCAAGAAACGTCGCTGATAGTATAAAAGATGGTGCTATTTAGATCGGTCCATTGTCTTTCTTAATTACGCCATCTTGTACAATGCCCAGGCTTCACTGGTCGGGTATTGCTGAAGACTAAATACGCTTGTGTCATTATATGTGTTCTCTGAGCAATGTATATTCATTGTACCGGGTTACAAAAGTAATACACACGCGGATATGCCAGTCAGATTCTGAATGTGAATGAGCGATGGGGAACATAAAGGGAGTTCTACCCATGACCTACTTCATTTGAATGGCATTAACTGCAACAGAGATAAAAAGTATTATTTTGAATAATTTTTAAGTTAAAAAGGAGAGTCTATTTTTCACTAAAGAAGCGATAAAGCTGATTATCCTGTATTTACCTGACAAATGTATAAACTACCCTACACATATATACCTACGGTGCACCTCCACTCGCTTTGCTCTGATGATTTCAAAAAGCGAGATCGTGTAGAACGGGTTTATAAATAGACGGTTGTATTGATATAGTCTCTAAAAATGACCTTAGTTTGCAGAGACTCGAGTGCTAGTCTAATATATACATAACCCGTGATCATTGATCCAATGTTTAAAAATGTACACTTCTGACGTGTAATGGGCACGATCTAGTCTAATTACTGGTGTCTTAAACTGGATCTATAACCTTGGTACGTTCGATATCGTTTATCTGTATATGTTGTTCACGTGATGAAAATCACGTTATTACAGAAATAACGACTGATATAGGCTGCAATGTACTAGATATGCCGGTAATATAAGATTGTAAGTGTTTAATTATCGTAAATAACGTTAGTTAATGCATAAATATCCCGTAAAGCCAATTGTCAAGTACTCAAACTTCCAAGTTTGAATTGATATCTTACAACCTGTATGCATATATGAACCTCTACTAGTGTATTACTTGTTTCTTTTATACTATTGTGCTAAATTATCCACATGACGCAGACTTCAAAGTTCAATATAATCTGTTAAGTCGCATTTCAAGCGGCACAATCATTGGTAGGTGAATTACTTTTATGACATTAGGGGTGTATTGTAGAGTCATTGGTTATTTTCTTCTTGTCAATATTATCAAATTCCGATGCCCTTATGTTATATATCATTTAAAGTATCATTTAAGAGCTAATGAATACATACTTCAATAGATTAAAATTGAAAACGCGCAGATCCAAAAAATAGAGTTTGACGGTGTTGTCCAATACACTCCAGTTGTAATCAATGTAAACGATATGAGAGCTAAAATCTCCAAAATATATAATAACAATAATATTAGTCATGTTGTGGATCACAACGCATGGTTTACTTGCAACTTCACAAGAAAAGGAGGCGACAATATCTGTTATAAGATTACAATGACTACAAAAAGAATTCGTTTGGTTGAACTAGGACCGGTCACAATTACTTCAGTCAAAATGTAGGAGCGAACTCAGAAGTAATTGTATGTCACTATATATACCGCAATTCCTTTATAGTCTCGACGCTCTCTGTGGTACCAGGTTTTATACAAGTAAAGTATAATGTTACAAAGTGGGTTGTAAATTTAAGACACGTGTCCTCAAATCACGTGTCCTTTAATTATACGGTGATCACAGGATTATCTAAATCAGACCAAATAAAACATGCATAATTACAAAAATTACATCATCAAAAAAAACAAAAAACAAAAAAAAAAAAAAAAAAAAAAAAACAAAAAAAAAAAAAAAAAAAAAAAAAAAAAAAAAAAAAAAAAAAACAAAAAAAAAAAAAACAACACTTTATTAAATGTAAGAATAAAATAATCGAATTCTAATTCATTTGCTGACGAAACATGGCTTTGGGTAGATGGTGTTACGTTAATGCTGTAACTTAAACTAAAACAACAGTTTACTATGGTGTCAGAGCTACCTATAATGTCCGTTATCATGCATAATATCATTCCACAACATGACGAAAAATGTAAAGATACCATAATAATAAACGATATTCTTTTCATATAACAAAACGTCAGGAAATGATATCATCCATCACAAACATTATGCAGATATTTGTTTAGTTCCTGCACACAATTTCTTCATTCTAAAAACGTTGATGTAATTGGTTAAAGTTATGAAAACAAGACTGAACTGAACAAAAAACTAGATAAGAACGAAAATGAATGAATAGTCAATTTTCAAGTTATATTCTAGTCTTTAATAAATCAGGTTATTTACAACAGTAGTTGAAAGATGCGAAACTTTTATCTGTTCAATATACATATATAAACATAATAGAAAATACTAACTTTTTCAGTAGCAGTACTTCAAACTTGTACGAAATAATTCCCCGACATATTTCACGGGTTTTAAACTCAATTTAATGTAAAATGTCTGCTTATGTACACATAAAGCTATATACATGTTTTAATGTTTACTTTTCAAGTATTTATAATGATCTGGTGACTTATAATGACAGTCAATGTCGAGGTAGCACAAAAAGGTACTTGGCTTGTTGATGGCATGTTCATTCGTAACAAATGTTGTGATTTTACGTAGTTAAAGTCGAACATAAATAGCAGTCATTCCACATTTTAAACCCGCTACGATAATATATATATAGCCTCCTTCGAGCTGTTACTTTGTATGGCATTTATGATTAAAACCGTCTATTTTGAATGAATATCAGTGAATCTGATACTTTATCTGCTTGTGATTTTTAATGATAAGAAAAAAGTTTAATCCAGATAATATAATTGCTTTAATTCAATGAAAATGTTGGCATGTTACCATGTCATTAAGTACTTCACACGTCATTTCTGAATGGCTCTTTGCAAGAGCCATTTGTAAATTAACAAGGAAACTAAGCTCACTTTTTAGCGAGATTATTTGATATTGCACGTGGAAGGTACCACCAGTGGACTTTAGTCTATACGATTCGTCGTAACCTGCATGTCATGTCTTGATTCACTGGAATAGCAGCACAGTTAAAGATATACACATGTACTTTTATGATTCAGGCATGCGCTATCACAGTCGCGTTCTAGAGGGGCATGCGTATGATGCAGTTTAATTGCGATTTAATAACGTTGCTATTATAACATCTTATTCTGTATTTATATTGAAAAGTGTTATCCCCTTGTGTATATTTTGTACCATTCCTCGTGTGTCTATCTCGCAGTATTGTACTTCCAAACTAATATTAAAACTATGTATAATCTTTAGGTGTGAAGAAAATCATGTTACACCTTGATTTATATCATGCTATTTTCTAGCTATGATTCTATTCGACACTCTTTTCATTTTCGAAAAAGATCATCCTGTTGTACCTTGATATATTGGATACTAATTTCTAGCTCTGATTGTACTCAATATTCTACTCATTTTTCAATGTTTTCTGATTGGAGGGAATTGGACAATCAATAACCATTGGTCGAATGAGTTCCTAAAACATAGAAGAGGAACAGAGTGCTTTGAGACACATATACACCGCAATCTACCATTAACATAATTCAATTTCATAATGACACATAGCCTATGTCAAATCCCTCGAATTGATTCTGTAATTTGGACAACATAGTGAATGGTGTGAAACTCATTTCACTTCGTCATTAAAATGGAATTCGGAGTAACATAAAAGCTTAGATAGTCGTTATAATGTAAACTGATGCAGTGTTGCATGATGATAGCAAATGCAACTTTTACTATAATTTATTACATTTAGATTGAAAGTTAAAGTCTTACTCAAATGTTGGTACTAGATTTACACTACATATTTTATTTTAAGTTCACATTTTATTACACAAAGCGAATCAATTCAGCAGTGATTTATATCTGTGTAGTGGTTTACATATAAACACACCACACCCTTTAGAATTGGCATGTACTGAACGATACCCATACACATGCATGCTTACGTAAAATAAACATATATTCAATATAAGTGGATGGGCTGTTTTATTTGCTGTTTAAATTGAACAATGACAATGACAACCAGGTAAAAATGTTTAGATATCAAGTTGAATAAGGTTTTTCCATTTAATTCAGGTATTTCTAGCTTTGTTCTTTCAAAAGAAATGTTTGCTTACTGTTATATACCTCTGTAAGTTATAGTAATCTCTGCTATTGTTGACTAAAGCGTTAACATTTACAGACTTAGTAAGACATCTGTTTCTATAGATATATTATTTAATGAAAAACATATTAAAAGATTTCTGTCATTAGTAAACCCGAATTGATTTTGAATTGAAAATGGTATATAAAGGACGTCTATAAGTGTTTTTAGACATTGTAGTAGATTTTGTACTTTCGTAAACTCCCTTATTATGTTTTTATTACTGGAAATAGTTTAGAATTTGTGGTAAGAATACGGTGTGACATTTGATATTGAAGCCATTAAAATTTAGTATTTTTGTGACTTTATATGGTATTGTATAAATTTTATTCCATTTTCTGTCATCAGGCAAGAACTGCTCGTGCCATTTTCCTCTACCAGTAGCTATGACATAAATGAATCAACAAGTATTTTTAAAAAGATCTTTATATTTGGAGGTAAGAATGGACGAATAACTAGTGTCAAATTTGTTGGTAAAAGGTTCTGGAAGAGATTAGCGAATCGCATAATAATACATGAACTTTCAGAAAATTTGTATAAGTTGATATTTTTCTGGAAGTTCATCAAAGGTATTAAAGGAAAACTTCATGATAAATGCGATGATTTTTATACAATGGATTTGCATGCATAGTTTGTTAAACCAAATATTGTTCATTTAAAGTGACCTTTCCTCAAGTTCCTGGTTTTTTTCTTCATAACTCAATTTGTACCAAACTTTCCAACAGATATATATATATATGTTCACCTTCAATAATCATCATCAAATCCATATTAATTCTACCTTTGAACTTTCGTTTTCATTTTCCTTCATTTCTGCATAGTATCCTAGGTTATCCACACTATAGTTTTGATTTTATCTGTTTTACTAGTAAAATTCTAAATATAGGCAATTGTTCTTTTTTATCACCTTTTTTCTTGGGTTCGGAAGGGTATAAACAATGAACTAAATTGCAATATCACAAATCGATGTATTCTTGTGAAAACCCAAATGCACATGTTGCATAACCACGTAACATGGGTTTACACAGTTATTCACTTGTTTACTAAATTGAGATATCACAAATAACATGTCATATGAATATTAATGATTTGATTTAATTTTCTGTTAAGTATAAACATTTTTCCTTATGTTACAATTTGAACATGGGATATTCTGACATGCGTTTACTTGCAATTGAATCTTTGTGGGTTATACTAGAGGTGTTGGCATCTCCCTGTGAATAGAAACATGCATCTATTTTTGAGTCCACTGTAAGTATGACTCATGTCGATCATGCCTAAAAATAGAACTTGGTACGGAAAACTGATGTATTCTGGGGAAAACCGAAACGCAAATGTTGCATAACTACGTTACAAGTATTTACAGAGATAGATATTCACTTGACTGTTTACAGCACAACAGGCTGAAGTTCCACATCAAGTAAAAATGTCCGACAATATCAGACAATTTGAAATGTGGCTACATGCGAGAGACGACAGTATACGCAGACTTGGAGAGCTATCAGATGAACTTGACACCATGCAGAAATGGTTTAACTATTCCAAAATAGTTTCAACGACAGGGTCTATAGTGTCTGGTGTTGGTGCTATAGCCTGTTTTGCGATGTCAGGTGTCACCTGTGGTCTTAGCACTGGCCTTGGACTTGCCCTTGCGGGCACTAGTGTTGGAAGTGCAGTGACTTCAGGAGGAGCAAGTATTGGGAAATATTTTCACGAAAAACATTTACTTCAAAAAGTTCAAAGTGCACTAGAGAGAGATTTGAGTCAATCTGTGTTGATTAACGAAAGGATTTCCCGTGAACAGGAATTAAGGGATCAGTATGGAAGACAGTCGACAGGGAACACTGCCGTAAAAGTGTTCACTGATTATGCTGTGACAAATGGAGTTCGCATGGGGCCAATAAACCTTTTCACGGAGAATTTCGCCAAAAGATTAGCACGCGCTGGAATTTTACTCAACGTCTTGATTCTACCCTTAGATATCATAATTCTTGTCGAAACATCAGTCGAGACTTATAACGGATCAACAAACGTGGTAGCCTCGAGGATACGCCAGATTGTACAAGAACTAGAAAATGAAAGAGATATGCTTCTGAAAGCTCTTCTGCAATGAGGTACTCTGCCACACAATAACTGTACATACATGTTCAAATTTGAAATCTGATAAAGAATTGCATTTGTTTTATCAATATTTAAATTTGATCTCATGATCTAGCAATAATTCACCAGAATCACAAAAGTTTCCTATAACACAGATAACATATATAAAATATTCCTCAAACACAGATATTGTATATTGTGTGTAAGCAAAGTTTGGGAAATTACAATATTGACTTGCTGTCGTTTCTCACTTATCAACATAGCTGACATTGATTAGTTAGTTCTCTGTTTTTCTAATTATCATATCCAAGATCATCCAATGGTATTGAAGTTTTCGTTTTATTTAAACAGATATGGATATGAAAACCCCAAAAAAGTTTTGTTTTTTTTTTCATGCGTTACACCTGCGTAATTGCTAAAACCATCAAATAACTTCGAAATAACTCCATCAATATAAATCAAAACCTGAAGATTTGTATCAGAGGTAGTTTTTCTCAATAGTTCGACAATATCCCATGAGCCAGCCAGGTTGTTTTTGCGTCGTTGTATTAGTTTCGCTTATTGCATGTGTACATCGCTATTACGAAACGAAAGTGGGGAAAACCGCCAGTCACGTGCTAATAAGGCTTAAAAATTATCTTTTTGTTTTTAGTTTTTTTTTATTATTTCGATGATATTTCTATCCTATCTCTCATATTTCAGTGATAGAATGAAATATGTTTTTGCAGATTTTCTTTATTTTAGGAGTATGAATACCATAAACAATACCTATCTATAAAAGTACTTTATCACATCTTAATTTTAAAAGTACTTTATTACATCTTAATTTTAAAAGTGCTTTATCACATCTTAATTTTAAAAGTGCTTTATCACATTTAATTTTAAAAGTACTTTAACATCTTAATTTTAAAAGTGCTTTATCATCTTAATTTTAAAAGTGCTTTATCACATCTTAATTTTAAAAGTGCTTTATCACATCTTAATTTTAAAAGTGCTTTATCACATCTTAATTTTAAAAGTGCTTTATCACACCTTAATTTTAAAAGTGCTTTATCACATCTTAATTTTAAAAGTGATTTATCACATTTTAATGCATGCGTTTTCCCCCACTTCCTGTATTGTTCAACAGTCTGGGGATGATGTTAAAAACATCTGTCACAAAAGCTTTTCAAAGCTCAAAAGCAGGCAGGAAGGATGATTTTCGATGTACCATATGACATTCCATCTGGCGATTTGTTTTGTGTTTTAAACTGGTTGCCTTTTGCTGATTGTTATCGTTACAGGGCAGGTTCAATGGTATACAAATGTGTCCATCATCTTGTTCCAGAATATTTATGTAGTTTGTTTAACTTAAAGTCTAATATGGAAATGATTTTGTAGTTGCAGCAAGCCAAATGGAACAATTTGCCGAATGAGATAAGGACGACAACACGTTTTGCCTCCTTTAAACGTGCTCTCAGCAATCACCTCATTAAGCATGGATGATCAGATTTCATATTAAAATTCTCTAAAGAACTGTATTAAGTCGATTCAATATTTTATCAGATTATTATCATATTGACTTACCTATAAAACGTTTAACCCATAATTAAGTGTTTATCCTCTAGTGGATATCGTGTGTCAACATTGTAAACACACATTTTTATATTATTGGTGTTATCTTATGTCATTTTTCTTTTTCTTTGCTACACTATTATATATATGTATAAGGCTGGAGCTGTTTAAATTGATGTAATATTATGTATGATATTTATGCATCCTGTGATATTCCAATCCAAATTGTTTTCTGTGATATTTTGCTTTCTTACCACAGGTTTACTATGTCTATACAATATGTAACTTTTAACAAACACATATATACTGTATTTTACTAACAAGAGGACCAAATGGAAGATTAGCCGTTGGCTAAATATGTAATCGTCAGAAAATATCCCTGTATGTATACATTTATCAAACTACCCTGATACAAGGAAACTGGACTTGGCTTTATTACTACAAAACTATACAAAAAAATTACCCTTCAAAACGACACTAGGAGAAACCGAAACATAGATTAGGCTATTTATAGACATTTGTGTACCAGTCTGTATCTGTGGGGTGGGTGATGAGGTGTAACGACGAGAGAAAAAGGAAAACCAGGTTAGCTCTTGATATGAAATAACAAATCAAAACACACATGCTCTGTGGATAAAGTATAACACACATGCTCTGTGGATAAAGTTTATTGTTCAGGTGTTGTATGAGGTAATATCCACACCTAGCATTAATCCGACAGCGAGTCAAAACAAAACGTACCGCTTTCAAATAGTTGTGCGATAAAAGTGATCTCAATTTCTCTGCATAATCTATTTCTAAATGTGCATTTTATTTCAAGTCTCTACAAAATCTATTTCTAAATTTGTATTACATTTCAAGTAGTCTCTACAGAATCTATTTCTAAATTTGTATTATATTCCACGACTCTACAGAATCTATTTCTAAATTTGTATTATATTCCACGACTCTACAGAATCTATTTCTAAATTTGTAATTATATTCCACGACTCTACAGAATCTATTTCTAAATTTGTATTATATTCCACGACTCTAAGAATCTATTTCTAAATTTGTATTATATTCCACGACTCTACAGAATCTATTTCTAAATTTGTATTATATTCCACAACTCTACAGAATCTATTTCTAAATTTGTATTATATTCCACGACTCTACAAGTGCTTTATTTCTAATTTTAAAAGTACTTTATTACATCTTAATTTTAAAATTTGCTTTATTCCACATCTTATTTCTTTTGTAAAATTGCTTTATCACATCTATTTTAAAAGTGTATTATATTCCACAACTCTACATGAATCTATTTCTAAATTTGTATTATATTCCACGACTTCCTGTATTATTTCTAAATTTGTATGATTTAAAAACATCTGTCACAAAAGCTTTTCAAATTTGTCAAATATTCAGGCAGGAAGGATCTATTTTAAATTTGTATTAAATTGGGTAATACATGTCCATGTTTGCTGTAACCGGCAGATCATGTATTAATGGTAGCATGGTTTAGAATACATACCATATATACTGTAATACATGTCCCCTTGGTTTGCTGTAACCGGTAGATCATGTATTAATGGTAGCATGGTTTAGAATACATATCATATATACTGTAATACATGTCCCCTTGGTTTGCTGTAACCAGCATACCACGTTTTAATGGTAGTATGGTTTAGAATACATACCATATATACTGTAATGCATGTGTTGAAGTTGTTCTTAAGTTATCAGATAAATTAGATATCGACTTTTTTCTAGGTTATCGGGCTACTGCAACTCCCTGTCAAGATTTTGCCATTTTCCCATCACTTTGGGTTTTCCTCAGTCGCCTTCTAGCATTACGAAACAGTTGATGATAATCAGGAATTCCATAACGCTAACACGTCCTAGTTTCACAACTACACATTCTCTCATTATAATTGATATCAGGGATACACTTAACCTTAGAAACAAAAGGCAATCGCGTATTATTTGTGTCTAAGATATATAGTAATTTGACACAGCAAATTCTTAAGTGTTTGGCATGTCACAAAGATTATCATCAGCGTACTCTCTACTTCATGTTTCAATGACGCATTTAAGTATGTCGTTATAATAAATTTCCCAATTGTCAATTTTCCATCAATCATCTGCTTCAACGGCAAAGATGGCCGCCTTCTTGGGGCTAGCGTCAGAATTCATGTGTAAATCGGCGTAAGATCATGAAAATTATCCAATTATACGAAGTATTAGAAAACCATTATCGATCACCTATGGGTTTTGCATCTTTATTCATCTTTTTCTTTCTTAATCTTTGTAGTGTAAGACAGAAATTTCCCCCTGTGTATGGAATTTATTGTATATAAGCATTGTACAGATGTGGGAATGAAGTATCCAATTTAATTTGGTTTACTTTTGTATCTTGAGAAACAAAAATCTGCACCTCCTTTACGACCCAAATATTTCATCTTTTACTGAAATATTCAAGTTAGATGATATATGAGAGTGTTGTTAATCGCTCACTTGTTAACCAAACGAACACATCAGATACACTTTATTACGATTTCGTCCAGTGTGAATATGACTGGCATATATTTTAGCACTATAACCCCCTAACCCCTCCTCCCTCCCCCATCCTTCCCATTTTGTGTAAATATCAAACCAAATACTAAATGTTTTCATTTATTTCTAGAAAAAGTGAAAAGGCTGATCGCGTAGAACTGTTTTGGTACATGTTTAGTAGTGAAACTCTCTCTTTTTTTTTTTCTTTTTTTTTTTTACAAAATAATGAATGTCATTTGAGAGAAAAAAAGTATGTCCCAACTTAGCGTCGAGTCTACCACACCATGCATCATCGACTGGTTATGTGCTCTTTATCTCGGTGTTGCTAAACGTTAGATTCACATCAGTCTATATTGTTAGTTTTGTTAACGATAGCCCACACGGCAAGTGATGGAGTAAGGGAGATTACTCGTGTTTTTTTTTTTTTTTTTAGGCAGGAATAAAACCAGAAAACAAGAAAGTGTATCGCTCACCTAGATATTACATCTTTCAGATCCAGAAACTTCTATTTACAATTCTCGTTGTAAAGTTTTTAACAGATCTTGGAATTCCAGCAGGAAAAGCATGATTTTACTTATTTCCTATAATGGGTCCACTGTTTATACAAAGATGAGTCCCCCCTACACCAGGATACAAAATACTAAATTTGAAAAAAAAAATCCAAACGTTCCTAAAGATGTAACAATTCAAAGTATTTCATAAAATTCCAATGTTAGACTCAGTCTGTCAGAAAGATGAAGATGGACATCGGACGATACAGAATGACTGACATGGCTAGAAAAATCATCTTTCCCATATCATTTTGGTTACAAACTCTTAAAGAATCGAAGTACCGAAACTTGATTCATTAAAGTATATCTACTTTGTCTTTCAATACAAAATATCTTTGCTTTTCTATTCTGTAAGGTTTTCCGAAGTCAAGGTCAAGGGACATCATAAAACTAGGTTTTTTTTGCTCAGCGAATCACAAATGACATCTCTTTTCATGACGCTATACACGATTGGCTGAGCCAGAAAATTGTTTCCTGATTCTGAAGCCTGTTGTTGGTGTTATCATTAGATAATATTTCCATGGGAACAACAATCAGGATATCTCCACGTAAGTGTTACATTATATAATATCATACGTAATTATCGCTGAAACAAGTACACTCCTCATCCTTGCATTAGTTTGGGATGAATAAAACTCATGTTTGATCGGAAGTAGGACATAATTCAATTAATCCTAGGTGACATCAAAGACTTGCATTTTTGTATACATCGTTATCAATAGATGTATGCTTTCCCCATAAGTGGAGTGCTGACGTTATGAAAATTTTTCTCGTGGACTATTTTTGTGACGGCGTAGTGGACATCGTGATTTGGTCAAACAAATTCAACGTTTTTCCGTCACCAGAGTATTTCTTTCTCTTGAGTACAACTCTGAAAGTTGTTGGCAGAATTTAGCATACTTCTGCATGGATTATCACCAAACATCACAGAAGGATGACTTGGCGGTCACTTGAAGTTAAGTACCCTAATAAAGTATTTAAACAGACTACTATTACGTTGGACTACTAAAAGTGATGCACTTCATAAATTAGAAAAGTTATAGAAACATTTAGAATATAAATAGATTTAAAGCATAAAACATATGAATTTAAAATGTTTCACATTATAGTTTTACGACGTAAATTAAATCATGCTAAAATTTTAATTAAAAAGGTTTTAATCAATCGCTTTCGTTGAGGTTCGAACTTGGACCTCTCGCGCTCGAGTCAGATGGCACACCATTGGGTGGAAAGGTAGTTTTCTGGCTAAGGCTATAGTTCGAAGTCAAAATTATTTTTTATAGCATTGCATTTTTTTATAATCTGTACGTGTTAGAGTTGGTGAGGTCAAACGGACAAACTATAACTCAGAGATAGCGGTGACAGAAGGAAGAAAGTGATAAAGAAGTGAACAGAGAAGTCAGGACCAAGCGTGATACACTCCACTATCAGAGACTTTATTGTAAGTTCCACAGCACCCTAACAGAGATGTCCGTGATTCTGCATATATTGAAGGGTCCCACTCAAACACCTGTATCTCGGCAAATCTCGCCCCGCGTAGAGACACAACGAGTTGATCATGTGAGAACGCTATGTTGATTGGCTTGACGTCAATGCCGTACGTGAATGTGTTTTTGATGGGCGTTGCCAGGTACTTTCCTTTGTAAGAGAACATCTGCACTCTGTAATTGTTGGCATCAGCCACATATATATTGTCTAAATAATCGACGCACACCCCCATAGGGTAAAACATCCTGCCATTCTTCGAGCCTTGTGATCCAAAGGAAAATTTCAGTCTTCCGTCTATTTTGTTAACCTTAACCCGATGGTTACCGCTGTCAGATATGATGACGTCATCACGGCTATTTACTGTGACGTAATACGGAAAAAGAAAATGTTCTAATGTATCACCAGCTTCTCCAAACCAGTTAGTTTGTTTCCTCCGGTCATTGAAAATAAGAATTCGGTTTTTCGTCATTCCGGATATGACTGCTTTGTTACGATGAGTAACCGCTATTCCGAACGGATTTTCATTCTCGTAGGTATCGCCATATTGAGCTATAAACCTACCATCTAGTGTATACTCGTGTAAAATGGCGCCATTTGATTGGCTAACAGTCACTAGCAAGGACCCGGATTTGGACACTGCAACATCCCGAATACAGCACTTACATGAGAAACTATTTTTAGAAACACCATTGAACCCCACAACTGTGATAGCATTCTTGCCACAGTCTGCGACTACAATATCCCCTGTCGGATGAACAGCTAAACCGGAAATGTTACTATATTCGGCGTCTTTTTCGCCAAACTTTCCAAATCGTGCGGAACACTTTGTGCTTGGCCGTGTTGAAGCTCTTGTTGAAACCGGTCGGCGATCTCCCCGTTCGGAGGTTGCGCTAGGAACTCTGTTGGAATGGAAGCTGTCCGGTCGAGTATTGATTCGAACGGCATCTTTCAGACTGGCAATAAGATGATTGTACGGAAACCCGGAAACTCCATTTGGTGGCATAGTTATATCCTACAAATACATTAAAAAGTTCTTTAAAGAAGATATCCATACCTGTCCCTGCATCATCCATTAATCATATGAACTACGTTTGTTTACAAAATGCTAAGATGTTGGTGATGGGGTGGGAGGGTGGCGGTGTTTTCAGAGAATGGATCTTAAATATAATTTGCCTTATTTCATGAATTTTTTTCATTTAGACATTTAATTTCTTCTAAAAGCTGAGCACGAGTTTCATTTTAACGCAACAGAGTGACCGTGGGGAATTAAGGTAAACTGTAAGTGTTAGGGCAACAGTGTGACCGTGGGGAGTTCAGGTAAAGTGTTAGGGTTAGGGCAACAGTGTGACCGTGGGGAATTAAGGTAAAGTGTTAGGGTTAGGGCAACAGTGTGACCGTGGGGAGTTAAGGTTAGGGTCAAGGCAACAGTGTGACCGTGGGGAATTAAGGTAAAGTGTTAGGGTTAGGGCAACAGTGTGACCGTGGGGAATTAAGGTAAAGTGTTAGGGTCAGGGCAACAGTGTGACCGTGGGAATTAAGGTAAACTGTTAGGGTTAGGGCAACAGTGTGACCGTGGGGAATTAAGGTAAAGTGTTAGGGTTAGGGCAACAGTGTGACCAGGGGGAATTAAGGTAAACTGTTAGGGTAGGGCAACAGTGTGACCGTGGGGAATTAAGGTAAATTGTGAGGGTTAGGGCAACAGTGTGACCGTGGGGAATTAAGGTAAACTGTTAGGGTTAGGACAACAGTATGACCGTGGGGAATTAAGGTAAACTGTTAGGGTCAGGGCACCAGTGTGACCGTGGGGAGTTAAGGAAAATTGTTAGGGTTAAGGCAACAGTGTGACTGTGGGGAATTAATGTAAACTGTTAGGGTTAGGACAACAGTGTGACCGTGGGGAGTTAAAGGCAAAACTGTGAATTAAGGGTTAGGGTTAGGACAACAGTGTGACCGTGGGGAATTAAGGTAAACTGTTAGGGTTAGGGCAACAGTGTGACCGTAGGGAATTAAGGTAAACTGTTAGGGTCAAGGCAACAGTGTGACCGTGGGGAATTAAGGTAAACTGTTAGGGTTAGGACAACAGTGTGACCGTGGGGAGTTAAGGTAAACTGTTAGGGTTAGGGCAACAGTGTGACCGTGGGGAGTTAAGGTAAACTGTTAGGGTTAGGGCAACAGTGTGACCGTGGGGAGTTAAGGTAAACTGTTAGGGTTAGGGCAACAGTGTGACCGTGGGGGAATTAAGGTAAAACTGTTAGGGTAGGGCAACAGTGTGACCGTGGGGAATTAAGGTAAACAGTAAGGGTCACGGCAACAGTGTAACCATGGGGAATTAAGGTAAACTGTGAGGGTAGGGCAACAGTGTGACCGTGGGGAGTTAAGGTAAAGTGTTAGGGTTAGGGCAACAGTGTGACCGTGGGGAATTAAGGTAAACTGTGAGGGTTAGGGCAACAGTGTGACCGTGGGGAGTTAAGGTAAAGTGTTAGGGTTAGGACAACAGTGTGACCGTAGGGAATTAAGGTAAACTGTTAGGGTTAGGACAACAGTGTGACCGTGGGGAGTTAAGGAAAACTGTGAGGGTAGAGCAACAGTGTGACCGTGGGGAATGAAGGTAAAGTGTTAGGGTTAGGACAACAGTGTGACCGTTGGGAGTTAAGGTAAACTGTGAGGGTTAGGGCAACAGTGTGACCGTGTGGAATTAAGGTAAACTGTGAGGGTAGGGCAACAGTGTGACCGTGGGGAATTAAGGAAAACTGTGAGGGTAGGGCAACAGTGTGACCGTGGGGAATTAAGGTAAAGTGTTAGGGTGAGGACAACAGTGTGACCGTGGGGAGTTAAGGTAATCTGTGAGGGTTAGGACAATAGTGTAACCGTGGGGAATTAAGGTTAACTGTGAGGGTCAGGGCAACAGTGTGACCGTGGGGAATTAAGGAAAACTGTGAGGGTTAGGACAACAGCGTGACCGTGTGGAATTAAGGTAAAACTGTTAGGGTAGGGCAACAGTGTGACCGTGGGGAATTAAGGTAAACTGTGAGGGTAGGGCAACAGTGTGACTGTAGTAACGTTAAGTAAGACTGTGTTAGGTTAACCACTGCAGGGTGACTATGATACGTCCATTCAGAATTATCATACCTGTAGCGTTGTATCTAAGTACATAACATAACATGCATTTGACTACTGAGGTCGTCATACCAAACACAATACAACGTGTCCGATATCAATGATTTTAGCACGATGTGTTTATATAGACGGCTGACTGGAGGTTTATATCAATTATTTAGGCCCGCTCTAGGTACAGAGATAACAAGCCGAACATACGAGCAAGCACACTGTTTATAATCAATACATCAATAACCGGTTTAAATCAACGAGAAATGATTTTTCATTTACCAAGAAAACACCAAGTCGAGTACTTTACATATATATTCCTACACTGTGCATATATCAAACACTTTGCATATATCATTGGTTCTTACCTGTCTGCAGACTGGACAAGGAAATACAGTAGATTCCTTGGTACGTGACAACTGCTGTTTACAATAATCATCCAGGCATTTCTCGCAGAAGGTGTGAAGACATTGGAGTGCCTTAGGTTGATCAAAAGGCTGTAAACATATCGTACAACTTAAGAATGTATCCTCAATCTGCTGGGCGATGTTTTGTTTCTGATGAGGCATCCTAACCTGCTGACAATTATGTGCACTGACCGCTGATTCCTTTATGGCTTTCAATCAATATATTGATTTACTGGTGTTGAAGTCATGTGACTAATCACGTGTCGCAAGGTATATTGGAATACATACAAGAATTTAAATCCGTTCAAGTTGGATTAGCACTGACAAGAGAATGGGTATAAACGATGGTTGTGTATACACTGCATTATATACCGTGATTATTTCAAATCTGTCTGAGACTAAATGTGTGGGCTTAAACCTCTGATCAACCAAACAAAAAACTATAACGTCACCTGTGTACTGCTGTTTACCGTAATCGTCCTATTTATATCTCTCTTGCTATATTTATTTATCTACAGATTTGACGTCCGTGACTCCTGATCGATGAGACGAGCATATTAGATATCTGGCGAGCCTTTATTTTCGCCGAGTAATTTTTTTCGGCAGTTTTCACCTTATCTACAATTGCTTATAACCTAAACCTGACGTCAGTTACGGTGAATTTCTAGCATATTAACGAATATTCCGGAACATTTAGAACCATATATCATATGTTTACAATTATATAATAATCCCAGCTTTCAAATACACTCTGTCCGCAATGTTTAGCACCTCATGTGTAGGTGAAAAGCGATCTTATAGGGTGACTAACGAAATTAACTCTAGATCAGAATCTAATTTTGATTCCGTGCCAATATCACAATACGTATTGTATATGCTAAGCCAATGATAGGTCCTAGCCATTTGATAGCATATTTCATGAATTCAGTATCAAAATTGAGGAAAAAAACATGCACTGCACTCGTAGCTAAGATTTGTAACTTCTACTTGTAATAATCCGTCAAGTTGGATTAGCCTGACAAGAGAATGGTCTCTCACATGGAGTGTGTATACATGCATTATATACCTCCAGTGTTTCAGATCTGTCTAGCGAAGTGTGTGGGCTTCAAAGTGTGTAACCAAACAAAAAACTATAACGTCACCTGTCAGTAGTGCTGTTTACCGTAATCCTGGTTATATCTCTCTCACATAGTGTGTATTTATGATAAGCTTTGACGTCCAGTGTCAGAGTCAGTTAGCGAGTAAACCTGGTTCGGTGGTCTCTCACATGGAGTGTGTAAATAGTACAATTGCTTATAACCTTCCAGTGTCACGTCAGTTAGCGAGTAAACCTGGTCCGGTGGTCTCTCACAATATTCCGGAGTGTGTAGAACCATATATCATATGTTTACAATGTATATAATAATCCCAGCTTTCAAACCTGGTTCGGTGTCTCTCACATGGTAGTGTGTAAATAGCAAGCTTTAGGGTGACGTTCTCTAGAGTGTCAGAGTCCAGTTGCCAGTATCACAAACCTGGTATATGCTCTCTCACAATGGAGTGTGTAAATTTGATAGCATATTTCATGAATTCCAGTATCAAAATTAGCGAAAAAACCTGGTTCACTGCATGGAGTGTGTAAGATTTGTAACTTCTACTTGTAATAATGAGTCAGTTAGCGAGTAAACCTGGTTCGGTGGTCTCTCACATGGAGTGTGTAAATAGTGATAAGCTTTCGTTCCAGTGTCAGAGTCAGTTAGCGAGTAAACCTGGTTCGGTGGTCTCTCACATGGAGTGTGTAAATAGTGATAAGCTTTCGTTCCAGTGTCAGAGTCAGTTAGCGAGTAAACCTGGTTCGGTGGTCTCTCACATGGAGTGTGTAAATAGTGATAAGCTTTCGCTCCAGTGTCCTCTTAGTCATTGAGATTTCTTTTTTTTTCGTTTTTTTGTTTTTTGTTTTTGTTTTTTTGTTTTTGTTTTGTTTTTGCAGTTTCATTACTGATTCATACTTCAATTTAGGTCGATATTCGACTCGATCCTTTTATAAAAGCTTCAAAACATGTTATTAAAAACATGTCATTAACTTATTACGTTTGTTAAAAAAATAAGTGCCTAACTCGCCTCAACAAGTAAAATGTTACACATGGATAAATCCTGCCCATTTACATCTCTAGCTGATATTTTTGTTTTAGCAAGTCTCGATTTCCAACGTTTAATAAATCTGGCTTGGCAACTATGGTAGAGAGATTTACGGTTAAAAGATACGTACACTTAAGATCCAGCTAGACCAGTACAATTTACATATTGAATGAAATTTTATCCTATTTTTCTCAATAAAGTTACGTATATCTTAGCTTGAAATTGATTGCGTGTATTTCATTGTTAAAAGTGTTAACAATTATACATTAGTATGTACCAAACAATTTTTATTGGGGCTTTGATAAAAGATTACAGAAAATCGTAGTACCACATTACTTTTCATAAAATCTCTTTTTCATCACATTAATCAGAATGTGACAGACAGGAACAGCCATTTTATGGCGCCGTTTTCAATTAATGACGTAATGTCATTGTCCATAATTGTTACGACAGAGCAATCTTTTCTTGCGCAATCAATGAAACACATTCCAGAGTATACTGTACTAGCCACATATTTGTAGACACAGAACTTTTAAAAGAGTGAATTGACCGGTTAACAGGCGATATGTGTTATAAAATATGTATTTTTTGTGCAACAATACTACAAAATATTAAATTCTGGACAAACAAGCTTTCGATCTCAACCAAGAATACAAATCGTTGTCTCTTATAGAGATTTTATTTCCGTTTCGACGATTGACCTCTTTAGCAATAAGTGTGAAATATACATGTACATATTTCCTATCGGCCAGTTTTCTGAGTTGTGAAAAATATAAGAATTTGATTTTCCTGCACATCATTATACCATGTTTAGAAGGAATCATCCTTACGTAAGGCGTTGAATTGTTGCGCATAAATAAACTATGATTTCGCTTAGAACCAGTTCAGGTCGAATTCAACTTCACTTGCAGTAATCCAAGTTTAAGGATGAGTGGGTCGGGAGTCAGTTAAATTCGGGTTAATACTCACTTATATTCTGGATCTAACACGTCAAATAAACCCCAACTCATTTGTACAAAAAAAACCATGGTTCCATCTTGTTCTTTATTTGCCACACTAGGATACAACTAAGACATGTACGAATTTCGCAAAGCACAGGGGAAATAACTCTTACTGTCCTAACACAGGATCATTCGCCTAGCCATACCATAACCAACACGTATATTCTCCATTTAACACATACATGATGATTTTAAAACAACAGTTCATAGTTTTGTAAGAACATAAAAAGAGAGAGGAAATAAAGGAGGAAAAAAAGAAAGAAAAATAATGAATGAGGTGCTACCTGATAAGGTAACAGTGATAAATATCATATTGTTCTTTAAATTTAAAATGTTTAATTCGTTCAAAGGTCACGACCGTGATATTTTCTCGGAAATATGGACCCTCTGGTGTTAAGTTCGCAGGGGCTGTTGGCAGCATTACGATTTGCTCTCTGAGGATGGTGTCCGTATTTCAAACATTTCATTTGTCTTACAGCCCCTGTCACAACGTTGCCATTTAAAATAGATTACCAGCATCGCATAGAGAGGTTTTCCACTTCACCAAAAATATGCAAACATAACTGTCTCATGACAGCAACGTCTGCAATGATATTAAAATCTTATACCAACAGATTTTCTACACCAATAATGGAACTGCCAGTTTATGTGTATTTTCTTTGTTGAACTCCTTTGTGATTCCTCAAACATAAATTTGTAATTACATTTCTGTAAAGGAAGATTATACAGCAATCATCAATCAATTCTTTTATTCCTCAACAGTGAGATTTACAAGGAAATATCAAAATTCAAATTTAAGCAAAAGTTCAAAAAGCTCAAAATCTTATCTTTTTACATATATTGTCACTTTGAATCACATCACATACTATGATGAAATCTCAAACATCACATCTTGCGGTTGTTTTGCGATAAAATGTTTTTGATACGGTGTCAAAAGTCTCTAAAGAAAGTAGCTGATCGTTGGATTCAAATATTGTTTAAATGTCTTTTTACATAGAGGTTATCAATGTAAATACAGATATCCGTTCCAAATGAAACAAGGACATGTTCCATGAACTTAGTTCTACTTTCCTGTGTCACAGAACACTTAGATGAGAAATGGAGAATCGGATCAATGTACAGTTCTTTGCATTTTTCACATTCCGATTCTATCCACGTCGGAGTATATGTTAACATTTTTGGACGCTCGTGTAACACCATCATTACTAGGCATATGTTGTGTCAATGCGTTATATCTATTCTAGCAGTGAAATGTACCTGTAGAAACGACGCAGTGAACTCACAGTGGACCGTATCATTATAACTTTGTCCGACTTGTTTAAGGCATGATACCTTAGCAAAAGACTGATCAGTTCATTATTTCATCAACCAATGCCATCTTTTGCCTTAAGTCACACAAACCATATGTCAAAATATTACCACAAGCTTTGACCAATTACCATGACAGTTGAGTATTTAATAACACAATGTCATTTATGAAACAATTTCAATAAAAAAAAAACATTGAATTTAGAAATATGAAAAACAACCCATATCTCTTCATATAGAATGTAAAAATATTGTGTCTACATTTTCCTTTGTGACTGTGGAGTTGTTTTAAATGGTCGAAAGGTTTGAAAAGATGAATTAGTTAAAGCTAAAAGCAGGAAATATGAACAATATATAATTTGTTTTGTTGTTGTATATGCTATATATTTTCATGAATTGGCTTCTCGATATTGTAATTAGAAAGTGACTTACGTAGCTGTGTAAACCGCAAACGGAAAATCATTTACAAGTACAACACCATAGAAATGAATATAAACGTTATGTGTTTTAGTGTGGGAAGAAACCCGAGTACCCGGGGAAAACCCATATGGTTGGGTAGGTGATCTATACCTTTCATGTCCGTTCTGAGAATCGAACCTCTGACGGCTGGGTGAAAGGCGACCGTATTACCACTTTGCCACACTACCACCCAAATATACAACATCGACGGAATGAAAATTAAATGTAGAATACTGTAAAATAAAACAAAAAACAAAAAAACAAAAAAAAAAAAAA